CCCCCCCCTCCGCCCTGAGGCGCGCCCCCCCCCGGCAGCTCCCCCCCCGGCAGCTCCCCCCGCCCGGGAGCCGTGCGGCAGCTCCCCACCCCAGCTCACCTCTGCTCCGCCTCCTCCCCGAGCACGCCGCCCCCGCTCTAATTCTCCTCCCCTCCCAGGCCTGCGGCGCCAAACAGCTGATTGGCGGCGCAAGCCTAGGAGGCGGGAGAAGTGGAGCGGCGACCGCACGGCAGCCCAGCCCGGGAATGCTATAAAAAAAATTGGGGGCACTGTTTTTTGGCACCCCCAAATCTTGGCGCCCTAGGCAACCGCCTAGTTTGCCTAAATGGTAGCACCGGCCCTGTCTGAACTACACGCCTGAGCCCCCTGAAGTGGCCCCCACACAATCTCCCAGTGGCCATAGTCCTGGTTAAACAGACCCTTTCCCTTTGCGGGGACAGCTGTGCTGCTGCTCTCACACAAAGCGGGCAGGGCCCAAGGTGCGTAGGACATTGTAGCAGGACATATGGACCACAGATGCTCTATGTGTACTTGGTCTGTAATCCAGCAGAGCTGAGACAACTGGAGAGGGCTGTGTCTCCTTTCAAAAGGGCCTCATGCCTTGGTCTCTGCCCCATGCAGATATCACACTATCAAACCCCCAATTCAGACAGTGCCCAGTGAACTCTCTGATCCCCACCATCAGTCTCATATTCCCAGCCACCCACACACAACACATATCCCTTCCCCGCCCCACACCCCTACTATCTGCAAGAAGGTGATGCTCACCTCCAATTTATCTGGCGAATCTCTACTCAAATATTGTTTGCTCTCTGGTTTAAGGATGAGCACTTACTCTCTGAAGCATCAAGCTGCAATGCTCAAGTTGCGATAGAGGGGGTCAGATAAGTCACATGGCCTTATTTCTATGCCTGATTGGGCAAGTAAAGATCCACTTCTGGCATGAATAATCACATGGGAGAATTTAAAACCTGGTTTCCCCAAATAGTCGTAGTTGATTAAGGGCTTGTCTACATAGGGAAAGAGACCGGAACAGCTATTGCTGAATGATTTTGGAAGTAGATTAAGCTAAACCACAAAAAGTCACTCTTGATATGGTATAAGAGCATCCGCACAAGGAATTATTGTGGAATAGCTCTTGTGCTTTACATTCATACCCTAGCTTATTTTGGAATAACTTCCCTGCGTAGATAAGCCCTTAGAAAGTTGCTTCTAAGTTTCCCGTTACAGGTGATCAATCTGCTTGAGGGGAAAAGTGACAATGAACACGTTTCAAAAGTCACGGCTTGTTCACTGAAGTGGTTCTGCAGTATTCTGCCAGGGATGAGATCCTCAACTGGGGGGCATTAGCCCTTTGGGGAATAATGCAAAACGGGTGCATTATAAAGGGAGCTAATTGCCTAGCAGAGAGGGCACTGGCCTGCGACTGGAGTTTAATTCATGGAATCACAGAACCACAGGGTGAGAAGAGATCGCAAGGGTCATCTAATCTCACCCCCTGCCAAGATGCAGGGTTTGCTGTGTGTAAATTATCCAAGAGAGGTGGCTCTCCAGCCTTCTTTTGAAAACCTCCAGTGAAGAAGCTTCCACAACCTCTCCAGGCATCTGTTCAATTGGCCTATTGTTCTTACAGTTAGGAAGTTTTTCCATGAGATTTAATCTAAATTTGCTGTGCTGCAGTTTGAACCCATTGCCTCCAGTCCTACCCTCTGTGGCAAAAGAGAACAACTTTTCTCCATCTTTTTTATGGCAGCCTTTCAAGTATTTGAAGACGGCTATCATGTCCCCCCTTCATCTCCTCTTTTCCAAACTAAACCTACCCAGTTCCTTCAGCCTTTGCTCAGATGGCTGCATTCCATCCCTTTGATCATCTTTGTCACTTGCCTCTGGATCCTTTCCAGTTTCTCCACATCTTTTCTATACACTGGTGACCAAAATTTGGCACAGCACTCCAGCTGAGGCCTAACCAGCTTGGAATAGAGTGGCACTATCACCTCCCATGACTTGCATGCTGTGCCTCTGTTAATGCAACCAAAAGTTGCATTTGCTTTTTTTGCAACAGCATCGCATTGCTGACTCATGTTGAGGCTGTGATCCAACATAACTCCCAGGTCAGTCTCAGCAGTGCTGCTGCCAAGCATTCTGTAGTTGTGCATATGGTTTTTCTTCAGTAAGTGCAGCACTTTACATTTGCCTTTCTTGAATTTCATTTTGTTGTCTAAAGCCCAGTTCTCTTATTTATCAAGATCCCGCTGAACTTTAGCTCTATTCTCCAAAATGTGTCATCTGCAAATCTGATCAGGATGCTCTCTAGTCCTACATCCAGGTCATTAATGCAGATGTTAAACAACACTGTACACAGAACAGATCCCTGTGGAACCCCACTCGAGACCTTCCTCCAATCTGACATCATTCAATTAATAATTACCCTTTGTCTGCGGTTGTTTAACCAATTACATATCCATTTAATGGTAGTTCTGCCAAGCCCACATTTCTCCAGCTTACTTATCAAAATGTGATGCGGGACTGTGTCAGAAGCCTTGCTGAAGTCCAGGTAAGTTATGTCCACCACATTTCCTCCATCCACCAAACCAGTTACTCTGTCAAAGAAGGAAATCAAGCTGGTTTGGCATGATTTGTTCTTAGTAAATCCACATTGGCTCCTTGTGATTGTCCTTAGATGTGCGGGTTACCCCTTCATCCTCCAGGTATTCGCAAATTGAATGTTATACATTTCTCTGTTACAGGGGTGGCCAAATTTACTGACCCTCCAAGCCACATACGACAATCTTCAGAAGTTCAAGAACCAGGGCGTGACTGCCGAGGCTCGTGGCTTCAGCCTTGCAGGTGCGGGGGCGAGCGAACACCTGGGAGCTGCAGGGAGGGACTGCTGAGGGTAAGAGGAGGTGTGTGCTTGGGGGCATGACTCAAGCTGTTGGGGGGGCAAACCTTTAAATTGTGCCCCCCCTCCTCTGTTTTCAGCAGCCACCAATCGTCTCTGGCAGAAGCCCCTAGCCCCGCCACCAGGCAGAAGCCCTAAGCTCCCCCCCCCCCAGTCTGATAGGTGTAGAATGGGGTAGGGGGGGCTCCGTGAGCCACACCTGAACTGTAAAAGAGCTGCATGTGGCTCACGAACTGCAGTTTGGCCACCCCTGGTCTAGTAGCTTCTCAGGTACCAAAGTCAGACTGACTGGTCTATAGTTCGCAGGCTCCTCCTTCCCAAATCCCAAGATTGGCTGGGGACCCCAGGCAAGTTACTTCCCCATCTCTAACAGGGGGACAATGGCATTCACCTCCGTCAGCTTTGAGATCTCTGGATGAATGGCTCTATAGCAGAACTAGGTATTATCATCATCAACTAGTGCTGCCCCAACCACTCCAGTAGAGCTGTACCACTGTTCGCCAGCAGAGGGTCTAGCCCTGTGTTTCTTCTCCTGCAACTTCCTAATTCGCCACATAACCCATCTCTCCCGCATGCAGGGCTGTCACTAGCGGGGTGTGGGGCCCGGGACATAGAAACTCTGCACTTATCTGCTGGGGGGTGCTTCCCCCATCTCTGCCCAGGCCCCGTCCACTCCACCTCTTCCCCCAGGGCCCCAACCCACCCTGCTTCTTCCGACCCCTGCTCTGCCCCACCTCTTCCCACCCCCCGCCCCTTCCCGCCCCCTCCCCACCCAGTTCCTCCCCCGAGCGCGCTGCACTCCTCTCCCCTCCCCACCAGTGCCAGATGCCACAAAACAGCTGATCAGCAGCAGGCGCTGAGAGGGAGGAGCTGATTGGAGGGGCCCGCCGATGGGCAGGAGGTGCTGGGAGGAGGGGGAGGTTGGTAGGAGGGGACTCCTCCTTCCCTCCCCCCCTCCGCTGCTCACCTCCTTGTTTGCCTCCTCACCCCTCTCGCCCGCCTGCCTCACCTCCACGCCGGGCGCCCACCTCCTCATGAAGCGCGGGGCCCCCGAAAGCACAGGGCCTGGGGCTGTCACCCCAATTGGCCGTACCCTAGGGACAGCTCTGCCCCCATGCTGGTGGCTGGAAGTTGAAGCTAGATAAATTCAGACGGGAAATAAGCACACATTTTAACAGTGTGGGTAATTGACCATCGGAACAACTTACCGAGGGTGATAGTGGAGTCTCCATCACTGAAAATCTTTAAATCAAGATTGAATGTTTTTTCTAAAAGTCAGGCTCTGGTTCAAACGGGCACCGTTCCAGGGAAGTCCTATGGCCTGTGTTACACAGGAGGTCAGACTAGATGATCACAGTGGTCCCTTCTGGCCTTGTAATCTAGGAATAATCTTCACCCACTGAGCACGTCCTCCCTAATTCCCCAGCACTCGAGAGGAGGGCTCTCCCCCAATCCCCGCCCCAGCATGCAGGGCTATGTAATCCCCCCCCGGCACACAGGGCTCCAGACAAGCTCCACCAGCTTCTCAAGAAAGTAGAAGGAAGTTTCAGGGAGGGAACTTTTTTATTCACGTCGGACAGGAAGTGACCCGGACATGGCACGGAACCGGGAAACTAAACAAAGGTGTCTGGAGAGAAGGGAGGTCTCTGCTCCCCCAACCTCAGGGCGCGGAGCGGGCAGGTGCCGTGGGGAACAGAGTCGTCATCCACTCCAGGGTGATGGAAGCATTGGTGGAAGTGGGGGAGGGGGTTCTTACCCATCCTCCCCTGGAGGAGAAGGGTGTGTGTGTGTGTGTGTGTCTCTCTCTCTCTCTCTCTCTCTCCAGACTCCCCATCAGATCAGCAGGAGGCGCGGGGTCTCCAGACAGCTGGATCTGCAGCAGCGGCAGCAAAAGGCTCTGTCTCACAAAGCCCATGGGTCAGCTGCTGCCATGTCCTGGCCCCAGAGAGGCTGGCGGGGGATCACTCCCGCTGGCTGGCCCTAGCCACGGGACCAAGGGCACCGTGGCCCCCGTGATGCAGCCTGCGGTGGGTGATGACATTGGAGCTCTGGCTGAAGCGTTTCCCGCAGTCGGGGCAGACGTAGGGTTTCTCTCCGGTGTGGGTCCTGCGGTGCTTGGTGAGGGAGGAGTTGACGTTGAAGCCTTTCCCGCAGTCCAGGCAGACGTAGGGCCGCTCCCCGGTGTGCACCCTCTGGTGGGTGGTGAGGTGGGCTCGCTGGCTGTACTGCCGCCCGCACTCACCGCACCGGAAGGGCTTCTCTCCCGTGTGGATGCGCCGGTGCCGCACCAAGTTGGAGACCACGGCGAAGCTCTTCCCGCAGTCGCCGCAGATGAAGGGGGTCTCCCCGGTGTGGCTGCGCTGGTGGGTGAGGAGGTAGGAGCTGGTGGTGAAGCCCTTCCCGCAGTCGGAGCACTTGTAGCGCTTTTCGCGCCGGGAGGCACTCTGGTGCCGGGCCAGGTGGGGCCGGTCGCTGAAGCCCTTCCCACAGTCGGCGCAGCTGTAGGGCCGCTCGCCGGTGTGGGTGCGCTGGTGGGCAATCAGCTTGGAGCTGATGGTGAAGCCTTTCCCGCAGTCGGGGCACTTGTAGGGCCGCTCGCCCGTGTGCAGCCGCTGGTGGGTCAGCAGGTTGGAGCTGCCGCTGAAGCATTTCCCGCAGTCGCTGCAGGCGTAGGGCCGCTCCCCGGTGTGGATGCGCCGGTGCTTGATGAGATCCGAGCTGACATTGAAGCACTTCCCGCACTCCAGGCAGACATAGGGACGCTCGCCGGTGTGCAGCCGCCGGTGGGTGACCAGGTGGGAGCGCTGGCTGCAGCGCCGCCCGCAGTCGGGGCACTTGTAGGGCTTTTCGCCCGTGTGGCTCCGCTGGTGACGCACCAGGTTAGAGACCACGTTGAAGCGCTTCCCGCAGTCCCCGCAGGCATAGGGTTTCTCTCCGGTATGGATCCGCCGGTGGGTGACCAAGGCCGAGCTGTGCCCGAAGCCTTTCCCGCAGTCGGGGCATTTGTAGGGCTTCTCGCCGGCGTGCCCACGCTGGTGCCGCAGGAGGTTGGAGAAGGCACCGAAGGTTTTGCCACAGTCAGCGCATGGGTGGGGTCTCTTTCCCCCGTGGGTCCTCTGATGCGCCAGGAGGTTGGACCGCTGACGGAAGCTCTTCCCGCAGTCTTTGCACGTGTTCAGTCTCTCCCTGGGGCGCGGGCCCTTGCGCAACAGGGAGTCTTTGCGGGTCCTGAATATTTCCCTGAGGCGAGTGGGATGATCTGAACAGGAGTCAATTCCCTGCACTGGGGAGAAAGGAAACCTCAGAGAGGGGAACGGCAAAGGGGAGAAAATAAACCAAAATAACTGCTGGGGAGACTGAAAAATCAGGAGTCAAGCCCTTCCCCCGAGGAGAGAGGAGCAAGTCTACCTCTGCATCCCCCTGAACACTCAGCAGGGAGAAAGGTTCTGCAAGGTGTCGGTCAAGACGGGTGGGAAGCCATGAGCAACGTCTGCCATGAGGATATGACCCCTGATGGGGACAATCCTGATCAGGGCGGGGCAAGGTATGAGGCAGAACTGGGGGTGCTCATGGGGCCTTTGTGGGAATCCCAGCTGTCTTCTTCACTCACCGATGGCATCTGTGTCAGTTTCATGGATTCCTCACCTGGGCAGTCTCCTCTCGGGTTCTCCCTTTCCCCAGAGCCTTGGAGATCCGGGACCCACGGCTCTTCCTCTTGTTGCCGCCGGGAGACAGCGTTGGGTTTGGGAATCGGAGATCCTGTTCACGAGACAGCAGAGAGGCAAAGACCCTGGTTGGTTAAACTGTCCTGGGAATTTACGGCAAGAATGTTCTGGGATTTGGATGGAGGGGGAACATTCATGGACCCCTTGGGGAAATCTCCCTCTGCCCCTTTGAAAGCCCAGGAGGTGGAGACAGGATTTAGGATTGTTCCATTTCCAAATCTCTCATCCCATGGGAGGAAGTGTGGTGGTTCTGGCCTCATCACAGAAATCTCGAAGACCTAGGCCGATCCCAGAGCTGCAGGGACTACACAGTTTCTAACAAACAATGAGAAAACACACCCTCCCTTACCCTGTGAGGTCCTGTTCGCATAGTTCTCCTGCATGGCGTCCCTGTAGAGGGCCCTCTGACTGGAGTCAGTGAAATACAAAGCCACTTCCTTGAAGGTCACCGGTCCCTGAAACAACAGGCATTTGCCACTCAGCACTTTCTACCTCAGCCACAATCCCACCAGCTCAGCCACAGGGGACCCAGACTGGTGTGTCTGCTCCATTCCCCAATACATTATGTCTTGACAGTTCCCATAACCCTCCAGGTTAGATCTGCATCCAAACTGGTCTCTCAGTCCAGGCTGCTCCACGCACACCTGCTCTGTCATCACACCCAGATTTGCCTCTTCCTTGCTGCTCCGGACATAAGAACAGCCATCCTGGGTCAGACCAATGGTCTGTCTAGCCCAGGCTCCTGTCTTCCAACCGGTGCCAATGCCTCAGAGGGAATGAACAGAACAAAGCAACTATCGAGTGATCCATCCCGTCGTCCAGTCGCAGCTCCTGGCAATTGTTTTGCAATGTAAGGAAAGTCAGATCAGAGAGCTGCGGCTGTGGAAAATGCTTCTGATGCTGCAAGATCAAATCCAGGCTTGTCTTGACCTGCCGGCCCTTCCGACTCCGTACACGCATGGCCCTCATCCCATCCGTATTACAGGGAACAGCAGTGCAGAGAGACTAAGTGGGAATCAGGGGTGTGGCCTAGTGGTTAGAGCAGAACTGGGCAACACGGCTTCAAAGTTACATCACATCCCCGTCCTTCAGTTTCCTTGTCAGTACAATGTGGATAACAAAACCAGCCTAGCTCCCGGGTAGGTGAAAGCCTGGGGTGGAAGGAGCAGCATTAACGTATTATTATTAGCCAGAGAGAGTCCAACTCAGGAACAGCTCCCTTGCTACGCACGCTCGCAATCACAAAAAGTCACCCAAAGATGCTGCTTCGAATGTGGCAGTTCTGTCCCCAGTTTGTCACAGGGTCGGGTCTCATTCCACCCAAGAGGGGAGATTCCTGCTTCCCAGTAACAAGCATCATCAGACCCCCTTGTAAATAAAAATTCCCTGTCCCAACCCTACCCTGTGTATTTCCTGCCTGACTCTCTCTACAGGACAAACCCACAGCAGCTCCCTGAGAAATCGTCCTACCTGAGCAGGCTCTGCTCCAGCCATTTCCCTGCGCTGGCCCACAGGAGAAGGGGATGATCAGGAGTGAACCGTGGACGTTGTTCTGCAGCCTATCAGGGGGGAAAGGGGAGTGGGGAGGTTTCAGATGGGACTTGGGTCCATTTCACACCCCCCCCCCGATTCCCCCCTAACTCCATCCCTGCAGAAAAACCTCCCAGATTCTGCTGCCCCTGCCAGTCTCTCCCCCATCTCCCTCCTGCCCCCTCCCCTCGGGCTGGGAGACTCGGTCCCTGGCCCAGCCCGGGGCGTTCGCTCCCCGGAGCTGGCTCGGCTCCTGCAGGCGCTCAGGGGGGCAGAGCCTGGGGGGG